CCTGAGTTCTAACAGTCTGATTACTGATGCTGGGACCTTTTCCCATGTGACAGGTGTGGTTCCGTGTGAATGAACTGTTGCCAGTCAATCTGCAGAAGTCACTGCCCCATGTCCCACCTGAAAGTCAGTCCCAAGGAATGCATGAAGGTATGTACCGGAAAGCTCAAGGTCCTCAGTTCCCTATTTGTTTCATTCTCGAGAACAAGGTTATATGATTACGAGGATGACTTGCATACTCAAGTCAACAAGTGCTTGATTGTTTGCTTCTACCTGGTTAAATTAGGAACTACACTACTAGTTGTTTTAATTCGGTCTTCCTTCCCCCATTTTCTTTTCCTTTCTAACAGGTTTCCCAAAACAGCGAGATAGGTCATCTCCAATGCCTCGTAGAAGTCCACCTCCTCCTCCTTCGTCTGGCACAGGACACTCTGGACAGATTGGTGCTTTTTGGTCCACGCAACATGCAAAGGAGTCACTTGTTGTTGAAAGGCCAAAATTTGATGAGGAACCAAACTTTGTTTCATCACACAATGAGAGAATTCGGTCAGAGAACTCCAACTTAACCAAAAACACCGGATTCATAAAACCTGAGAGTATACAAAGTCATGGCTCTCAAAGCAATGTGCTGGGGAAAACTCCTCAAAATGATACTTCCAGGGATTTTGAAATGAACTTCTCCAAGAAACACAGAGACCATGGTTTTGAGCAGCCAAAAGTGTCGATGAACTCCAATAATGCTTCTTTATTTCAAGATGATACTTTCAACACATTTGTTGCTGAATTTGATACCGAAAAGGTAAACTCCTTCAATGTAAATACTAGTAACAAAACCGAGCAGGGAGATACACTGGAAGCTGAAGTTGAGAGGCTGAAGGAGCAGGTGAAGCGGGCTAATTTGGAGAAAGCTGAAATGACTTCCAAATTTGAGAAGCTGTCTGCCATTTGCCGATCTCAGAGGCAGGAGATACAGGAGCTTAAGCAGAGTCTGGCTGCTACGACTCCGCTACCAAACAAAAATGGAGAATCGCCAATGAATCAGTCACCTGCAACTGTTGCGGTACTAGTTCTGTTGATGTTTTACAATATCTAACATTTATTGCCGGTTGTCCATATTGATTTTTGACTGGATTCTGTTTTAACAGCAGCAGAAGTTGGAGAGTGGCAGGAAAAGCACAGAAACAAGCTCATGGCAGCCTTTCGCAGATAAGATGGAGCAGCAGGCATCACCCAGTTGCAACACTCCTCCGCAATCTGTTAGGACGAGTCTTCCACAAGGGGCTAGTCAATCCACTTCTAGTTCCTGGGGTTTTGATGGACAGGGTTTCAGGGCGGTTTCTTCTGCAGGTGGCCAGCCTTCTACTCATAATTCCCAGCAGTCTGTAAGGAGAAAAAGTGTTGATAGCCAGTCAAAAACTCAACCAGCTGGATGGGCTGGGTTCTAGTTCAAGGGCAAGGCTTGTTCCGAAAGAAAGGGAAAGGAAGGGGGGATAATGTCTTTCTTTGCCAGTTCTTCCCCAGAGAGAGTGAGAGAGAGGAAACTGGAAATGGAACTCTCCAAGTATGGCATTTATGTGGTTGCTATTTCTTTCTGTTGTGAGTGCTCCCCACTTGTAGATTCACATTTTTTTTTCTTGATTGCACTTGCACTGGAGCAGCAGCCCATGTTGTGAAGTGTATTCTGCAGCATTCGGTGTTTTTTGGGTATAAGGCAATAGTAGCTGAAGATATTTTGTTGCTGTTAGAGTCGGAATACCCAGATGAGGTCGATGTGCTGTCGCTACTAACACGAAGCCGTTGCACTCTAAAACCTTTAGTCACCATTCGTATTAGGAAAAGATCACTGCTTTCCCTTTTTCGTAAAGGATTCTGCATTTATGGAAATCAGCCTATATAATGAAGCCTAACTCTACGTCCTTTGGTCATACTTGCAACGGAATTGTAAGAGGAAAAGAAGAGGAAGCAAACAAGGGCGATTGTAACAATGGGATGCTTCGGTTCAAAGCCGGCGACCAATGGAGGAAATGGCAAAACCAGCCGGAGTAGCGCCGCGCCAGTCAACCGACGGAAGCAGAGCCGCTATTCTTCTCAAGACGGCGGGGTTTTCATCATGACCGCGGCGACCTCGTCTAATGCTGGTGGGGGTGGTGGCCACGGTGGCGGCCATGGGGGCTGGGGATGCGGCGGCGGAGGATGTGGCGGTGGCTGATGCGGGGGTGGGCTTTATTTCACTACATGTTTTCTTTTCCGACGATAGTTAATTTGACGTGTAGATAAAGGCTTTATTCGATTATTTCTACTCTCTTTTTGGAAAAAAATACTAAATAGCGTGTTTCAAAAATACACATTTAGGTGGGTGTCTAAGTGTACCTGTCCAGAGCTCGAAAGCTATATTTATTATAAGAGAATGGAGAGTAAATTCCGATATTATTCGTTGTTACAATGGAAGAGTGTTTCAAAAATACACATTTAGGTGGGTGTCTAAGTGTACCTGTCCAGAGCTCGAAAGCTATATTTATTATAAGAGAATGGAGAGTAAATTTCGATATTATTCGTTGTTACAATGGAAGAGTGTCCTTCCCGCATTCCAAATGCTATACCACAACGAGCAAATGACTTGAGCAACAGTACCACAACGAACAAACTAGCTCTTTTTGCGGCATAACATATAAGTTATAACTGAACAAGACCAAAAGAGTTAAACTAAGCATTGGGCAGGGGCCGCGCGAACGCAGGCCCCCTCAGCAACAAATTATGACGTAGGCTCTCCCACATTGGGGAGACCTTGGCCCAGCGCCCCTCCGCAAAGTGCAATGGAGGTCACTGGCCTAGACCACAAGCCTTATTGATCGCCCGTAGATCCCGTCCAGGTAAGTATGTTGCATAGTAGCTCTCAGCTCTTATTTTATACGTCTTTCTCCTTCAGACTTCTCATGCTCTCCAATGTGGTATTCTTATTTCCAACTCCTTCGAGTAAACCTCTTCCATGTGCAATAAAACGCTTCCTTCACTAGCCCTTCTCCAACCTACTTGCCCCATTGACATGGGACACATGATTCTGATACTAAGGCCATTAGTTTTAGCTTTGTTTAAGTCACTGATATTCATGTATAGAACACAGTGCCAAACATGTTTTTATCTAGTGTGGATTTTCCTGAATGAAACAACCCCAGAATGCCTCTTCGCAAACTGTGTTAGGAAAACATGGCTCCATCTAAGTCGATGATCCTTTGCCCGATCATGTCACTCGATTTCGTTTCTCGAATTTCTTCTTGCAATCATCCATGATCAAAGGCCAACCCATGTCACTGTCCTTTCTCTGCTATCCTACTGCAATTCTCTCAGCATTGATCCAAGATTGAAGCCATTGCCATTTGCCAGGTACTATTATGCAAAATTATTGTTGACATGTTAAGCCGTGCTTGTGATGCTGTGAGATAACATGTATATGGCCTTCTGGCACCTATCGGTAAGTGTTGAACGGTATCGAACCGTATGGAACTAGAAGCAGTGACGATGAAATAACAATTACCAAATGTTGGAAATTGGCAGACTGAATCTCATTCTGTCGACCTCGCTAACATGATTGAGAAGAAGTACCGGGCCTAAGAAAAGAATTTGGACTTTATAATTGGGTAGGGGCCGCGCGAACGCAGGCCCCCACTGCCACAAATTATGACGTAGGCTCTCCCACATTGGGGAGACCTTAGTCCAGCACCCCTCCGCAATGTGCAATGGAGGTCACTGGCCTAGACCACAGGCCTTGTTGATCGCCCGTTGATCCCATCCAGGTAAGTATGTTGCTCAGTAGCACGTAGCTCCCATTATATACTCCTTTTTGCCTCACAGCTTTCCTTCCTCTATCGATGTGGTAATTGTGCTATCGGTGGGTTCAATGGTCGGAAGGATGGTTCTTCACTATCAAATGATACAGCTGGAAACTCTTTTGAGGGCCATTATTCTATCAATTGAGTTCTTTTATATAACTAAATTGGATGCCATGCCTTGTATCAATCCTTTGGTTTGTCAGGAGGTGTTTCTGTGCTTCTCAATGGTTCTCCTTCACCATTATTCTTGAAGCGCCATTTGTGATTACTGGTCATGTGTAAGTAGAACAACCGTATGATATTACTTGGTCTGTATGGACAAGTTTTGTTTCAAGCGAATCCTTGATCACTCTAGTTCTCCCTGGCTTGATACTCAAGCAAATCCTTGGTTGGATACTAGATTTCATCGCTCGTTTCTCTAATCTCCTCGTGGTACGATTCAGGCTTGATTAAGGAATGCCTCAGTCAATCTCCTTCATTTGATGAAAATTTAGTAAAAGATTGAATCCAGATAGGAGCATTGTGTGACTGTTCTTTTCTAGTTTTAGGTCTTGCAGGATTGCTAGATGATGCTTATGCTCTTGTTAGGAGCATGCCTATTGAACCTGACAAGCGTTTTCGGTTATCGCTTTGCAGTTTTTGTTGCGATCATCGTATTGTGAATTTTAGAGCAGCAATTATGATAAGCTTTGAATTCGGTTTGGAAAGCTGAGTTTTATGGGAATGTTGCAAAGTTAAGGACAGTGATGCAAGAAAAAGGGGTTGTACAAGATGGTTAGATGCAGGTGGATTGGAGTGAGGAACAAAATTGACATTTTATTCTGTGGAGACCCGCCAGCTCCATTGACATCTTTAGGTTTAAGAGGCACTCAGTAGACTTTGTAGAAGCATGGTGAAAAAATGAAAGTTGCTCTGGTATTTTTGAAGTTCTTTTAAGCTGTCGATCTTAAAAGGCATCAGTGTCTTTTTCATACATGCCAAAAATCAAAAGAAGTTTTCGATTTCACTTCTGGTTTTAACTGAATGGTTGGAATCGGCAACCAAACTAATGTGGATCATTCGGATTCAAAATAAAGAAAGGTTTAATTTAAAGGAGTGGTAACGACATTTTCTCCATTGCATATTTTTCATTTTGAGAATCATTTTTTATAGAATATTAATCATTTTTATCTATAAAACACTAGGGAGAATTTCGATTGTATTTGCAATTTCAATATAAGCGATGGTTCGTTTAATATTTTGCCTTGTTGTAGTGGGTAATGAACTAATGATCACATCACACATGGCCTATTCAGTAATTAGTCACCTAAATGATCATCTATGGATAACCACAAAAAAAATGATTAAAGGACAGTTTATTGGTAATGCATGAGCCACGATATGATTCTTTCATCTGAAGGGTAAATATTTTGTACAACATTACTTTCCTAATTTAAAATTCTCTTACTAACACGAGAAACGAGAAACAGAAGAGACGAAGCCAAGGCTTGAATCGAGAAATATGGTGAAATGTTGCCTTCCAAATTCAAAACTCTACCATCTAGCTTTGGCATTGTGTCTTAGCTCTTTATGTGATACAAGGGTGGGTGCCTCAATTCATGAATACAAGGATGGTGCTTTTATTCGTCGTTCCAATTCATACTTCTTTCATGGCGGAAGTGAAGGCCTTTACGCATCCAAAAATCATGATGATATCCAAGAAGACAAGCTCGTCAAGGGAAAATCGTTCATCAGGTACATTCTTAGTCCAGTATATCATAAACTCCATTTGTTTTCTGGAAAATTCAAATTGATCTTTCTCTAAAATTCACGATTGCAAGAACAATCACAACGAAAAGTTCGAAATGATTCATCCCTTCATATTTTGTCTCGTGTTTATTGAGTTTCCAGATTCCTCCCCTATTTATGTGCTAAAAAAATCACACAAAGGTTGTTGCTTTTTTATGGATCGATTGAGATTTCCTTATGCAAATGGTGGTATTTTTTACTTTCATATATAAAACTCGACCAATTTTATTTAGGAATCAAATTGAGTTGTATTTTGTTATTGTTGCATCGTTAATATGAAATCACAAGCAGGTAATTATAGATGATGCGTGCTAAATACTTGATTTTGATAACATGATTTGAAAATTTTAAAAAAATATTTTACACTCGTATTCATCATGGAACACCAATTTTTTTTTAATGTTTGTTGTGAAGGTTTGAGTCCGTAATTTTTAGAAGACCAAAGGAGTCAGCAGAAAGGAAGAATGAAATGCAGCAAAAAACAGGATTGCTGGAAGCTTTAATAGTTCCAATAAAAGATAGAGACAAGATTGGTGGATCTTATCTCAACTCCACCGCAATATGCTGCACTCCAGAACTCGCCAACAGCGGTTCTTGTAAAGTAGGAGAAGTAATCATTCACGACGATCCAAACAGCTCCCCAGACGGACCAAAGAGACTTCAGACATTCTTCGAGGGAAAAAATGAAGTGGCCGAGATGGTTCTTCAAACAGTGGAAATAACCCATGACGGAATGTACTATCTCTACTTTATGTTCTGTGATCCAGAACTACTTGGAACGACGATAAGCGGAAGAACAGTTTGGAGGAACCCGGATGGATATCTCCCTGGAAAGATGGCACCTTTGATGCCTTTCTCTGGTTTCATGTCACTAGCTTACCTTGGACTTGGACTCGTCTGGTTTCTCTGGTTCACACGCTACTGGAAAGATGTCATACAGTTGCACTTTCACATTACCGCAGTTATAGGTTTGGGTATGTCTGAAATGGCTCTGTGGTACTTTGAGTATGCTAATTTCAACGCAAATGGGAGTCGACCGGCGGCCATAACCTTTTGGGCAGTCACATTTAGTGCTGTTAAAAAAACTGTTTCTCGTCTTCTCTTGCTAGTGGTCTCAATGGGGTATGGTGTTGTGAGGCCAACACTTGGTGCTTTGACGTTGAAGGTGCTTCTTCTTGGTGTGGGTTATTTTATGGCATCTGAAGCACTTGGGTTGTTTGAGAATCTAGGTAATATTAATGACTTCTATGGGAAAGCTAGACTTATTCTTGTGTTGCCAGTTGCTGTCTTGGATGCCTGCTTTATTGTCTGGATCTTCTCGGCATTGTCCCAAACCCTGGAGAAACTTCAGGTAACTCTAGCTTTTTGTGCTTTCATATAAACTAGGTGGCGATGCCCCGCCTTGTCGCGGGGCTGAGATGGCCTATGGGCATGTATTATGTGGCCCGTTATGGTGTTTTGTTAGTATTAATAGTATAAAATTAATTTTTCGTTAGTAGTTTTGTTAGTAATATTGACTTCACAATATGATATTGACTGAGAAGAGATATATGGCGGCCAACATCCAATTTAATTTTTTTTTAATAATTTGGGTAGTAAATGATATTTACCTAACCCAAGTAGACTCATTGATTATGTGTAGGGTATGAGTGAAGTATATATGGGTTTGGAAGTTTGTAAATGGAAGTTTGTATTCCTTTCGCTTCTCTCTAGAGTTTTTCTTTTTCAACCGAGCTAGAATTTTCAACAAATATAAATGGAATGTATGGCTAGATATACACATATCAATTCCCATAGATTGGTTCAAAATGATTGGTGGATTGGATTCATAGATTCATGGATTGTATTTGATTCAACATTAACCTAACTTAAGCTTTATATATAGTAATTGGTGGATTGAATTCATAGATTCATGGATTCAAGTGAAATCTAAATATTAGACCAATATGTAAATTAAAAAAATTGTAGGTACAAAAATCTCATAAAATTTAGATACCAAAACATAATTCTTCAATTATTTTATATTAAAATTAAATTTTGAAGTATCAAAATGTAAAATGTACATTCTAGTGATTAAGTTGTGATTTAATTAAATTTGGGGTATCAAAATGTAAATTGTTAGGCAATAAGGCGGAATGAATGGCTCCTTATGTGAATAACTTATTGATGTGTGGTCACAGGTGAGAAGAAGTGGAGCAAAGTTTGTGTTGTACCAGAAGTTCACCAATTCTCTTGCAGCATCCGTTCTAGTGTCCATTGCTTGGATAGGTTATGAGGTTGCTGATAATAATTCTCGTATAACAAAAACAAGACCACCAGTATTCTTTGCATCCCATCATTCCTTAATCAAAATTGTATTTTGTTCCACGTTTTTGTAGTTGTACTTCAATGCGACCGATCCGTTGGGAGAGTTATGGAGAAGAGCATGGATCATCCCAGCTTTCTGGGCTTTGCTAGCCTATATGCTTTTGATTGTTGTATGTGTTCTTTGGGCTCCATCCCCTAATCCAACAAGGTACCATACTCTTCTTGTCTCAACAATAGTTACCCATGCCCCTGAAATAGTGGACTAGAGGGGGGAAAAACCCCATGAAACATATTTTTTTGGATTTGCAGGTATTCATATTCAGAGGAGATGGGAGATGATATCGAAGATCAGGAGACTCCATTTGTATCGGGTGGTGGAGTTAAATTAGGGGGTGGAGATGTAGCAAGCATGGCAATGTTGGAGATCAGAAAGGAGAAGAAGCTATCAACTACATTACCACCACCACCACCTGCTGCATCAGAGTACTACGTTTTTCGACTTGGCGAAGATTTGGAGGAAAACAAAAGGGAGTAAATAGGTCAAATATAACATGGGTTAACTAATTCATTAACTACACGATTGAAAAGACAGTGATTCACAAATTATGCCACGAAGATAGTTGGTATAACAGGTGGATGTCACATGAAGTGATGAATGACTAGTCACACACAGTTAGCTCCATTCTTACAAACATGGATCCAACCCTTTAACTCATGATTGAAGTACGATGCAAACTTTTCCCCAAAAAAAGAGTCTGAGGCGACCAAACCACTTATTGATTCCTTCAATTTGGAGATGGTCTTTCCCAATGCCTAATCATGTGACGATTGCATTACTTATTTTGTAATAATATTGACATTGGGTAGTGATGGTTGTTCTTTGTATCTATGTCCTAAGAAATTTTTTTGTCGTTACCCTAACATGTTGCTTAACTATCTTCAGTCGGATAAGATTGTGGAGGTGGGTTAACACTTTGAGATTAGTATGTGAGACATGTTTCTAAACTTCATCAAACTTTACAACTAACATTGTCCATCAAAGAGAGAACTTCATACCTAGACGGGATCAACCAGAGATCAATGAGGCATGTGGTCTAGGCCAGTGACCTCCATTGCACATTCGACTAGTTATATGTTAAAATTCTTTTATTTTGCTATTTATTCTAGTTATTTTTCAAATGTTTGAACCAAAACTCTGTACATATTTCTCATATAACATCCACCACATTTTGGATTGAAAGCTTGTGATCGCTGATTCTTTTTTGTTTTGGGTAACAAACCGGGCTTAAAGAGGCGTCCCAACCTTAACCATTAACAACCAACCTTGGGTCATAATCTCCTCCCAGGATTGCATGTTTTTACGGCGTCTAGTCCGACGCTAAACTATTGGTTGTACTGTGATCGCCAATTCTAACGAACTTTCACAACAAAAAACTACTCTAACAAGCCGTTTGGAGAAAAAAAATATCCGTTAATGAAAATAGATATACCTTATTTAATATTTATTAAAAAAATTGGAAAAAAATTAATTAGTTAAACAGATAATTGTACAATATATGATTTGTTTCCATCTTTCCCTCCGTACCAACCCACTTGACTAAATAATTGGAAAAAATCAATATTATTCCATTTTCACTAATTTCATACATGCATCAATTTTCTCTATAAATTGGCAGTTGGTGTTCACCAAAGAATTAATTAATTAGCTGTATCTTTCTTTGCTCTCTTTCATATTTGTACGATACATCCAAAATAACTTCATACTTATTACTAGCTCTACCAACCATGTCAAAAAGAAAGAAGAAGAAAAACACTAGTCGAGTTGCAAAATAATATGCTACCAGATTAGTAATTTACCAGAATACGAGAAGAACCACGGTAAATTAAATTTCTACAAGTCTATGAAAATTTGATCTTTTTCTATTGCTTGTCAAATATCAATGGGCTTATCATGTTTATACATTATAGTCCTTGGTGTAAGTACATGTTCATGCTAAGTGGCATAAGCACCTTATCCAAATGTGTGACAAAGTTTATTTGCACAATGGATTGATGATAGTATATATATAATGATGTTTTTGTTCTTCATAAATTTTTTTCATAATGTAGGGAGTAATAAGGTCATTGGTTATGCTTGATCAAATCAAAACTCCATCCACCGCCATGTCCAACCTTCGTATTTTCTCCTAGAGAACATGGCTCTTCACAGACTCCAACCGCCGCCATGTCCTGACCCGCCGCAGTTGCCGCCATTGACAGAGCTATAATTGTCACCAGCTGGACAAGAAGGAGAACGAGAAACCCCCCTTCTCTTTTGCCATATTCACAGTTGGGTTCGTCATGATTTCAACCATTATTCAATCTTTGTCAATTGAAACGAAAAGGAATTGTGACAAAATTCCTCACTATAATCCACCATCCCAACGAATCCGTACTAAACTTTGTATAAGAGAAAGACGAGCAATGTTTAAAGTGTATGAAGACTCGCGAAACATGATACTAGTAGTGTGTAATAACTTTCTTTTAATTTCAAGGATTCTAATATATGATGTGCAAATATGCTAATGCAAATAGAGTTCAAAGACACCAATTTGTTTTTTTCTAAATGGAGTGGTACATTCAACATTTTGTGTATATGGTGGGGGATTACATTCAATATTTGTTGGTTTTTTTTGGTACGAGAACAATGATACAACACTTTAAAATACTAATATTTTAGAGCACAAAGAGTAAACATGCAATGATTGCACTAGCTACAATATTGTTCTTCGTATCTATGTGTTAAGAACAATTTATTTCTTCCCAATAAGCCGGAAACTGATTTTTTTTATAATAATGATATAAGTTTATTTTCAATAGTATCTAACTAGAGAGGAAAGAGAAGGAATTAAATAAAAGAAATCTGCCATAGAAAGAGAATCAGAAGCAAGACAGAGAAAGTAATTAATGCATGATCTTAATTAAAAAATATAGTAATATGGATTTTTAATTCTAAAAATATATTTAATATAACTTTTTAATTTTCAGAATTTAATTAATATGAATAATATTTTCAATGTCATTTTTGTCTTTGGTTTGCATAGTTATTTTTCTTAGACTCAAATCTAGGAAGTATAGCATGTATCACAATAGTTGGATATGATCATGGAACACTTAATTATGACATTGACGTGGTGTTCTTATATCCTGTGGTCCAATAAACCAGTTCCACGAACATGAGTTTGGTATAGTTAGTGATGGCAATTCGAACCCGTCCCGCGGGTAATACCCGACCTGACTCGCGATAAGACGGGTATTACCCGACCCGCAGTAGCAAAGGGTGGGGCATGGGTATGTACTTCCGACCTGCCCTGACCCATCCCGCCCTGTATTATACCAATTTTATCTAAATTTCTTATACTATCTATACATATTTCTCCTATTTTGACCTTTTCCCCAATAGTTAGAGTCTATCTTCCAATTTGTTAGACTCCAATATCCATTCCATTATCACTATTTTCATTAATAAAGTGTTTTCCCCTTCGTTTTATCATAAAAAGTAAAATTTTCGTGTATTGTTTTCAAACAACATGTAAGAATGGGTCCACCAGCCCCCGCCCCGACCCACAGTAGTGGGTCGGGACATGGGTATTGAGGTACCCGCCCCCGGCCAATTGCCATCACTAGGTATAGTGGTAATGCCACTGATTTTTTTTTTGTGAAATAGTATTAATAATAGAAAGAAAAAGTTTACAGAAAAAGGAATAGAGAGGGAATTAAATGATGTAGAGAGGAGTTGTCAAGTTAAAACCACATAGATGGTTTGCGCGATAATTCGTTCCTCGTACACCATGAAGTGCAATGGATTTGATGACACTAGAGAGGAATCTCCCTCCTTGATAGACGATGATGGCAACAATCCCTAGTATTTATTTTCTTCTTCCTACTTCTAAATTTCATTTTTGTGGATGAAACTAATGATGGAATTGGACAATCTCACCTTTTGCCATGGAAATCTAATTCCTGGAATTAGAAAACCACATTCCATTGCCATTAAATTGACTATCCAAGCAATGAAATGCTCCACATTCATATCCAATGAAAGTATATCACATGCCATCAACAACTTATGTCGTTCAAACAACTACTATATTGACTAGAATGTAGTTCTAAATGTAAATAATTGGAATTCTAGGTAAATTAGAACTCAATTCCTTGGTAGACTATAGATGATTCATAATGGGTACTAATGAGCTATTATTAGGAATAGTATTCCTAATCATATGAGATTATATCAATGACCAAAAGAGAGGAACATGCTTCACAACTTTGCAGAGGGTTGTGTGATTATCACAATGTAAAGAAGCGTGTTCGGCCAATGCGAGAGCCAACTCATGTGATGTAGTAACTAACGTAACCAACATACCTTATTATCAAAATGTGACTTATTCATTAGAAGATGAAAAATATTTAAAAAAAATGTTGATTTGAACTTTGAAAGTAACATCGCTTATCGAAGATAAAAAGGCATAAATAATGAAGATTTATTACCTTATCTTTTAAATAACGATAATTTCTCACTCTCACTATATAAAGTAGGGGCGAGCACGTGGGTGGTTAATCCGCGGATTGATATCGATCCACCCGAAAATAACCCGATCCGCACGTAGTGGGTGGATTGCAGATTGGTAAATCTCCCACCCGCACTTATGTGGGTGGATGGTGGGTGGATTGCGGGTCACCCATATGACCCGCATCCTATTTTTACATGAAAAAAAATTGTTAATTTCTTATAGTATCGAATATTCATCATATTTTTGAATTGCACTACAGTCTGACCATATACTTCAAAAGGTGAAGAATAAATAATAGTTTTGGCTACTATTATTGGTCATTCTGTTGTGCAATATCCATTATATATTGGATATTGGTATGCAGATTATTGTTAATAACCATTAAATATTGGGATGCAAACTATAAATTATTAATTGTATCAAAATTACAAATTAATGATACAGTCTTACTAATTTTGCTTTGAACTTATTATAAATTTTAGTAAACTTTCTTAATGGCTAGTTGAAGAATTACTTTTGCGGGTTGACCCGCTACCCAATCGCACTCATCCACCATCCACCTAACCCAACCCACAGAAGTATGTGGATGAATTGTGGGTCAAAATTATTTCAACTCGCTAGTAAGTGGGTGGGTCAATTTGAGACCAAACCCACCCAACCCGCCCATTGCACACCCCTAATATAAAGTATCGGTCCTTCTCGCCAAACAAGCTCCTCTATGTTTGGGAGTTTTTGCCAACGTCTTTTACGCAACCAACGACAACCCCCTCTTTTCTATAGTTCTCGCCCTAAGTGAACTTCATCAAACCTCTTTGTATGAAATGGTTTCTCTCTTTTCGCCAATCTGATTCTACACATCTATCTTTTAGTCGAGTTTTTCTTCTCTACTGACAGAGCAAGGTACAATATTATTTTCTTCACTTTCTTCCCCCTATTATTTGTGTAAACTCCTCCTCGTTTGATACGATTGAACGTGATGATTCGAATAGGTCAAATCATTCATTTGTGTGGCATCTTGGATATAGCCTCATAGAGCTTGAAGGTAGTGTGTGCAATCCTAGCGTTTTTATCGCAACTTCTCATTTTTTTAACGAAGGTGGTTTTCCGATCATTTTGTTAATCTCTTTTCAATTTAGTGGTTTAATATCCTTCTAGATGTGGTCTCTGGCCTTGAGTCTTACCATTTTTTACGTGTTGTTGATTTTGATTTGGAATTTGTTCCCAATCTCATATTAAAATTTTCGTTTAGGAGACCTATGAGCTAAAAGTTGTGGTGTCAACGACTAGTGTTTTCGCAATGCATCTAGGGTTTTTTACTAGAATCATATTGGCTAGTGTTGAGCTTTATAAGTCATAACTGATTTGCATTTCCTTTTTCCTTGCAGTTACTTTGTGTACATCTTCATCTTGCTACACCTTTCTCCCGTAAAGTTCACCCCTTAATTGAAACCTTGAAGTCATCAACTGCAAAAAAAAAAACCCCAATTATTTGGTAAAATACAGATACATTACCTTAAGTATAGAAATAAGTTTACTCACTTCAAAACAAAAACGGATAATCAATTTGTTTCCATGTTTCCCCCTGTACCAACCCACTTGACAAACCAAAAGGAATAATTTATATTCTTGCCATTTTCACTATGTCCATATATGCATCCATATTCCCCTATAAATTCACAATTCATGTTCCCCGAAAATATTGATTAAGTAACCGTGTCTTCTTTGGTTTCTTTCATATTTGTACCCCAAAATATTTTTATATTATTCCTTGCTCTACCTAACAATGGTGGCAAGAAGAAAGAAGAAGAAAAAACTACTCAAGTTGCAAAAAAAAAAAAAAAAAAAGGAAGCAACCAGATTAGTAATTTACCAGAATATGTGAAGGAACATGGTAAATTGGATTTCTCTATGTGTATGATATTTTATTTCCCTTGTAGTTCTTAGCATAATTATATGTTTATGATAAGGAGCATAGGCATCATAGTCAGATTCGTGGCAAAATTCATTTGCGGAACTAATTAATTATAGATATTCTGTACATAGTGACACTTTTGTGTAAGTACGTGTTTATGCGTGCCTCATGGCCAAATTAGTGAAAAATTTGTGAGCACAACTTTGATTATGGACATTCTATATATAATGATGTTTTTTTGTATTTTTTGTGATGATTTTTCGTCATGGAGGGAGTGGTTTTACAAGGTCTGTTTGTTCAAGTAAGAAGTTTGGACAATAAGGAAGCTTGTACAAGAGGAAGACGAACGTTTCTCAAGAACATGGATAGAAGATGAAACATGATGCTCCTATCAACTTCCTCTCCACTTCTAAGCAAGGTTGTCAAGCCAAGGTTAACCTAGGTTACAAGACTTGTGAGGAAGATGTGCACCACTTTTCCCGCGGATAGAGACCCGCAGCAAGGTTTTCAAGGTTGTAGGGTCATACGACATTGTTTTTCCCTTTGACTTGCGAATTGTATCTCTTTTTTCGGTTTCCCCCTTCGTGCCTAACCTTGTCTTTGGAATTCTAAGATGATCATTTCAATATTGGTGCTACATGAGTGTGTTTGTATTTTCTCTTTATTGTTGGATTCAAATTCAAGTACGAACTGTTAGTTTGGTATCATGTTATATGTTATTACTCATATATGTTAGATAATATTTGATATAATTTATAAAAGTATTAACAATATAATGAATTATATCATTTATAATATATTAAAAATATAATGACTTTTTTCATATATCTGGATCATTACGGACTAAAATAATCATACCATCAACTGTCAACCCACTTGGTCGACCGAACCTGTTGGGTTTTGGGGTCCAAAGACACAACGGAAATATAACAAAAAACCCTTCCAAGATCCAAGCGAGACAATAAGAACCAGAGTTCAAAAATTCTAACCTCTATTAGTATCCACACGGACATTGATCGGATCACCTCCACGGAATGGTGCTAGCCACGAACTTTGGAGGATTGAAGAACTTTAGTTTTTATGAACTTTTCAAGATGATTAAGTGAACTAGAGATGGCAAGTCAAGTGCTGATTTTCGTCACTCACTTCAACCCCTATTTATAGGCTCTTGAAACGCCCATGATTCATCTCAAATGAACCCAAAAATCTACACCTCATTCTTTCACAAATGATTCATCAAATGACTCATCAAAAATGGAGATGAATCATCTCCAAATGCACCTTAATTCAGCACCTCATGGTTAGTCATATGAATCATCAAAATGACTCATCAGATGTGATGATGATTCATTCTCAAATGAATCTACATTCAACACCTCATGGTAATAATGTGGAAGATAATGATAATTATAATCCACCTCATCCTTATTTACACATCGTGCTTGTTAAAACATCGTGCTAATAAACACCTCGTGCTAATGCCACAAATACAATTCTAGCTTTTTAGTTTAATGCTCAAAGAATTGGACTATACATGTTAGTCTATAGCCAACAAGATTTTACTCTTTAATTGATCCGAACAAAAATCTTTGTGTGCGACCCTATAGGTTCTTGTCACGTTGGCAATGACAATAACATTTACAATCATAAACAATGAGTGGCGTCTAACAATGCATCATTGCTACCCAAGTGAACAAGAAGTTGGGTTGATCCAACTAACCTTTCAATATGATCATTATTAAATTGTGATTATGATCTTGACAAATGTTAAGTCCCTTCGTTATGATATCCAGATAAACCACGATGCACAAATAGGTGTCAACCTCATATAGTGAATCTGCTTTGCTTGATATAGAGAAGACATAATGTGACGAATATTGATATTAACATATCAATCATTCGAGTATGCATACATTCCTTAGTCTCACTCGAGTTTTCTCCTTATCAAGGAGCCCAAGGATATCTCTCCAACACAACTTGGAGTAACGAATCCCATCTTGGTCTATGCAAGCTTACTACATAATGAGTTACGCACCCAATAACCACTCTAGCTCACCCTATCAAGGACGTGATTAGATGAGGTATCAAAGTACGCAAGCCACCATATAATAATCTTCATAACCTCAAGACAAAGGATAATATTTTCGATGATTACCTTAGACACACTTATGACACAATTGTATAATCTGTGAAAGTGTTCTCTGGTTGGGTCTATCCAGAATACAAGTTCTCTAAATCCTAACTCACACGTGCATGCCTTAAATCTGTAAGCATCTTTTCGTGCGCTAGTCTCAATTGTATAAGAGCCGACCAAGTTCTTGCTAATATACTTGACTAGGGATCTTTAAGAATTCACATCAATTATGCGATATTTCATGGTCATTATCGTGTTTGTTAAAAGCACAGTTTCATATCAAATACAACAATTGAACAAAGCCTCAAGATATCTTTTATATATACAAGATACACAATCATAACACAACTGTTGTACCACATACCCAAATATATGATTTGCTTTTGGGCACCATACTAACAGAATCAACATGTTAACCGGGTTGACAACCTTGCTTTTAAGAATTCAAAATGTATGTGCGTACAAACCTGCTAATTTGTATTCACAATAATAGATGGGTAAATTGAATTTCTACAAGTCTATGAAAATTTGATCTCTTTCTATTGCTTATCAAATATCAATGGGCTTATCATGTTTATATTTTATAGTCCTTGGTGTAAGTACATATTCATGCTAAGTGGCATAAGCACCCTATCCAAAAATTTTACAAAGTTTATTTGCACAATGGATTGATTATAGTATATATAATGATACTTTTGTGCTTCGTATTTTTTTTCATAATGTAGGGAGTAATAAGGTCATCGGTTCTGCTTGATCAAGTCAAAATCCATCCGCCACCATGTCGAACCTTCGTATACTCTCCTAGAGAACATGGCCTTTTGCAGACTCCAATAGCCGCCATGTCCCGACCAACTGCAGTTGCCGCCATTGACAGAGCTATAATCATGACCAGCTGAACAAAAGGAGAACGAGAAACCTCGCCTTCTCTTTTGCCATATTCCCAGCTGGGTTCCTCCTGATATCAACTATTATTCAATCTATGTCAATTGAAACGAAAAGGAATTGTGACAAAATTCCTCACTATAATCCACCATCCAAACAAATCCGTACTAAACTTTGTATAAGAGAAAGACGAGCAATGTTTAAAGTGTATGAAGAAGAATACTCGCGAAACATGATACTAGTAGTGTGTAATAACTTTCTTTTGACTTCAAGGAGTTCCAATATATGTTGTACAAATATGCTAATGCAAATGGAGAACAAAGACACAAATTTGGTTTTTTTTTAAATGGAGTGGTACATTTGACATTATTTACTGCAATAACGCATTCAACATTTTTGTGTATATGGTGGGGGATTACATTCAACATTTGTTTGTTTTTTGGTACGAGAACGATGATATAATACTTTAAAATACTAATGGGATCGGATAGCGTGACAACCCTAGGGGGGGGGGGGGGGGGTGGGGGTGGGGTGGTTGTCATTTTCGTTTCCCCCTTCACAGTCGTCCGTCTCCCTTCCTCTCCATCTGGCGGTCGATAGTGAGCAGGGGCAAAAAAGAAAGAGGCAAACTGAATTAGGCCCCTTGCATTTGAATAGGGAGAAAAATCAGCCCCTTCCCCGGCAAACTGTTCATCTCCCCAAAACCTCCTCTCTCCCGAAACCCTTCCCTCCATCATCTGCCAACAACGTTCCCTTCCACTGTCTTCCGATCACTATTTTCGGCGTTGCTTTCTTTCCCTCTAACATCTCCCCTGCTCCGGTGCTTAGTTCTAAAACCCGGTGGTTCGGTGGAGAGGTCGGGTAAAATTCTGCATTTCCTTCTTACCCTGTCTCGTGTTTAGTCGAAGACTTGATGGTTTAGTGAGAGACAATTCAAGTAAAGTTTTCCATGGCCAGTGATTCTTATTTTTCGGTCTTTCAACTTCCTATCCCTTCCCGATTAGTCTTTTATGATGTTGTTCCCTACTCTCTCCCCTTCTTCGACTTTTGGTATTCACTTTTCTTCTCGTTGTGTTACTTTAGTCGAAGTGCTAACCTGGAAATTTTGGGGTGTTTCAGTGCATCAATTACAATCCTTCCGCGATCGTGCCTTTATGTGGTCGTATAAACCATCGCAGGTGAGGTTACTTTATGGTGATAAGCTTGTTTTTCGATTGCAAGATTATAATCAAAACATGCAGCTCTGACTCTTTTCGTAGTTAAATAATGGTAGATTTTTCAATTGCCTTTTTGGTGTTTGTATAATCGATTGCCGATTGGTACTTTTCTATTCGTAGCATTGGTATCAATTTAGGGGCAACGCTATTGGTACCAGTTGTAGTTGTAGTTGTGCCACTAGTATCAATTGCGGTTGTAGATAAATAGTGGTAGTTTACTAGTATGGTACCACTAGTACCAATTGTAGTTGTAGTTAAATAGTGGTAACATTGTGGGTACCAATGCAATGTTTGTTTTTTTGTATCAGGAATGGCGAGAATATAGATTCCTTGTTATTCATCGGTGAGAACAAAGATTCTGTTAATTGTCCACTTTGCGCCATAACTTTTAGGAGATCGTAGCCAACATGATAGACATGAGCGCTGACCAAAACACACAAAGTGTCTGGATTCATGACATGTAATATGATTGAGCACTGCCAGTGGCTCAATGGCAAGACGCTCCACAAATGAATTTTAGTATTGTTGCTATCCCTAATGTGAAAAGATGTAATTGGACGAACTAGTGACATCTTAATTAATAGTTAATACCAATTGGTTTTGAGTAATATTATCAATTTTCAGTACAACTCGCACTAGTGGATTTGTTCTGCAATGGTAGCATAAAATCTTCAGTGGTATAGTCTACTGGTACAACTAACTCTCAACTGGTAAATAGTTACATGTACCACTCCACTGAGACAGCTAAGATGGTATTTGTACTAGTCGAGTGGTACTTGTACCTGTGTAGTGGTACAAGTAGGCTAATATCACTTGTACATTGTACCACTAGTATATGCATGAGAGGTCATACTATGTAACTTATGACAGTAGGCTAATACCACAAGTACATTGTACCAATAGGTTACTACCACTAGCCAACAAATATCTCCAACATAATAATACCAAAATCGTTAATTATACCACAAGGTGTCTACAAGTAGAAATGAAGTACCGCGAGGTGACTACCACTGCGGTGTCTACCACTAGATGACTACTAGTAGGTGTCTACCCCTACCATAAAACTACTACTGCATAACTTGAACTAGAACTACTGGTACATTTTTGTTGGCGCAGTAGTTGTACCACTAAATTGCTGATGCCACTTCAACTGAAGTCGTAACGTCACTGGTTAACCCTACCGAGATTTTTTATGTCAGCGACTTTCATAATGCCATCATCGTCGTCTTCACCATTCTCTATGTACAGGTCATCGTCAACGTTACCCGTCTTTTCGTAGTTCTCTAGAAACTCTTTGTTGATCATCGTCATTTTCCGTCCGTTCAACTCTCGCCTCATATATGTCTTCTCTGTTACTTGTGTATGATAGATACGTTCAGGTCAAATCCAAATAGCCACGACTGTTCAGCACCCACCCCATCTTTGTCGTCATCGTTGCTGATGGAACAGTATATTGTATCTCCGTCAACGTTGATGTTGTAATCGTCCATTGTAGGTCGATCACCATAATCGTCCATTGTAGGTCGATCATTGAAAGAACCAGAAATGGTAGGGGAAGAGACGCAATTAGGGTGAGCTGAAATGCAACCACCAATCACGCTGCATAATTGCACTCCATGCATTAATGTTTATTTTCAAAATTTTCCCATTACAATAGGCTTCCAGAAACGCCCTTGGCGTGATCACCACCATTAGATAAGGAAGGGGGGTGGACGACCATAAGGAAGGAAGCGAAACTAACAAGAAATGGGGGGGGGGGGGTGGACGGCAAGACAGAGAACGTAATTAATGCATGGTCTTAATTAAAAAATATAGTAATATTGATTTTTTATTCTAAAAATATATTTAATATAACTTTTTTATTTCCAGAATTTAATTAATCAAAATAATATTTTGAATATCATTTTTGTCTTTGGTTTGCATGCGGTATGCACCATATCCCGTTCCATGTGTACAACTATTATGCAAAGTTATATTTCATAGACTCAAATCTAGGAAGTATAGCATGTATCAAAACATCTATATATACACAAGCCCACAAATGAAGATTGCCACATCAGCTACTCCTTCACAAGTCATAAATTCAGGAAGGGTAGTAGTGTCAATGTGTTCCTTGAATTTTAAGCCCCTTAGAAAAAGAACCCGTAGGTACACCTAGATGTGTAATTGGGCCCAGCACTTTCGGCCCCTTTACCACCTAAACAGATACTCATCTACAAATAAATGAAAGCTTGGGCCCAAAACAAATAATTGAAAGGAAATGTTTCATTGCCTCAGAGAAGATTCGTTGTCTCTCATCCCTTTGTCCTGAACAATTCTTCCCCATTTTCAAAGCACGTTTCCACTTCACAGCACAGGATCAGCGTAGATTCTTTACTCAAGTGATCCAATCCGAGTTGCAGCCGGCTACTACTATCATCCGCCTCATCGAGGCATGACATTATCATCCCCGAAGTGCCAATTCTTCCCCATACCACAATCCCGTTTCGATTATCCGGGAATGGTGCTGCCCTAATTGTCACCAGATTCTTCTCCTGCCGCCTCATCGTCCTCGGACAACCCAATCCCCGGAGACTGCCAGTTCCCGTTCATAGCTGCCTCATTTCATTCCCAGTACATACTTTTCCACAGTTCACCCGGAGACCTCCTCTACATGGTCAACAAGCGAAAGTACCCAGGGGAATCTTCCAATGAAAACCGAAAACGCCAATGCACGGTGAAAGCTTCCAATAGAAACATCACCAGTCAATATCGCTGTCGTGTTTCCTAATTAACTTGCAGACTTAATCAACCCCATTCCAGTTTCGTTTGTTCACGGTTATTTTTAACATGATTGCAGGGAACGGCAAGGCAGTATTCATTGAACCCCAACCTCCAACGGCACCAAAAATCGCGGGTGAAAAGGAACGACTTTCTGCAGTTTTATTGTCTCTACGATCAGAGGAAGAAGATGTCAATCGTGCACTTGCTTACCTGGCTAGGCAAAGGAGAATTTATTTAAAACGCCATCGTCGTTTTCCTTACCATGCTCTTATCCTGAATCCAGGTACTACCTAATATGAAGCTTCTACTCATGCCATCAAATTGATTACTCTTTACCTGTATATTATCAGTTTTGGGTTATTATCAACTCTCATAAGATTGATTGCTATTTACCTGTACATGATCAACTTTGGGTGATTATGAACTCTCACCATCTGAAATTATGACATTCTCTTTTCTCCTTAAGGATTCCACCTAGCTATTTCCCGATTACAACAAAAGAAAGGTAGAATTCTGCGACGAATGCAATTGTGTGAGAAGCGCAAAATCCACGGAATACCAATGAAGTTCCTTCGAATGGAAGGTATGATTGGTTTCCCTCTAGCAGCCTTCTGTGACAATTCTCAGATGTTTAAGTGTTCCCTAATATTGACCCTGCATTGTTTTCAGGATACCCAGCTGTTGAACCTTTTGAAATTGGCGAACCCACTTGCATTTGTGAATTTTGTGGAGCCATTTTATGGCGTCAAGAAAGCACATTGTCCACCAGAGGGCAAGACGTCCTCAAATTTTCTATCTGTTGCAGGCAAGGTAAAGTACAACTACCTATGAATCAAGAACCACCAGAATTATTGAAGGTGCTGTTGGAATCGAATACCACTCTTGCTCGCCATTTCCGAGAGTACATTCGAGCTTACAATGCAATATTTTGCTTCACCTCTCTGGGAGGTAAAGTTGATCATACTATAAATGATGGTAGTGCAGCCTATGTGTACTCAATTGGAGGCCAAATTTATCATCGGATTGGCAGTTTAGTTCCTGCAGATGGTAGTGCGCCAAAGTTTGCACAGTTATACATCCATGAAACTAACAATGAAATGCAAAATCGTTACAATTTCTATTCAATGGAACGGAGTTCAAATCCATTGCGCCACGATGTTATTCAAAGCTTGAAGGAAATGTTGGATGCTAATAATGTTTTGGTACAGACTTTCTGTTGCGCAAGAGATAAGATTAATGATCCTAATTTTCATCTTATGAAGATCAAGATCCTTGCGAAACGGCCTACGATGGAAGAGAATATGATCTACCAACTGGTGATGAAATTGCAGCTTTAATTGTTGATGAGACAGGTGCAGATTCATTTCAGCCAGATATCTGTTGGATCGTCGAGCGCGAGACGATGGAATTCCTCTTCGATGGTTTCTCTTTCTGTCGAACCCTAACTCTGCGATTTCAGAACAAGTGAGAGAATCGAGTAATGGAAATGAAAATGCGTTTTATTTCCTGAGTTTCTAAACGTTTGTTAATATGCAAAATAACCCGAAGTGGGCTTTGGGCTATAAACAGTGCAACGACTTAACCAAATGAAGTGGGCCTGCTAATCGAGCCCAAATCACTGCGTCACCTTCTTTGTAGTGAAGAGAAGAGTTCTTCAGTTGAACTCTGTACCTGCAAAACAGAGTAAGCTAACAAGAAAAAGTAAACAACAGAATCAAACTCATTCACACACACAAATCGAATTTTTACGTGGTATCCGATATTGGGAGAATGAGGATCCCAATATCGACTAATCCACGGTAGGAGACTCTCTTCTTGAGATCTCCTACGTAAGCACTATCTTAGTGTCTTGTGTTTTACAGGACTCGGCTAACTTCAACTCTGCTCCCCACAGATCTACCAAGCTTGCCTCGGTGTACAACCTTCCTGATCAAACACTCTGATTTTTCCCAGTTAATCACCTCGATTAACTCTGCCAATCACTTCTAACCCAAAAGACTTTAGCTTCACAAGCTGTTTCTTATTGTTCTATGAATATCACAGGGAAAAACGTACATCACACAACTCAATTGACCTCCCCTTTATATTTTTCCCACAGCAGAGCCGTTGCAGGGAAATCTTGACTTGCCAAGTTTGCTCTGCTCATTTTCGGCAGGATTGCAGTTCTTTCTATTTTTGTATTGCTTTGAATCCTCCTGATTTGCGCCATTGATCATTTCCTTTTCAGTCTGCTCGTATATCAGAATGCATAGACTGGCCTCGATCTGCTTCTCTCAACATTCTCCCCCTAAGCATGTCATTTGCTCCTATTTCTGCTGCTTTCACACATTTTCTGCACAACTCAACAAAGGATTGGTGCAGCCTGTTCCAAACAGCATACTTAACACAATGCCATATAATCTGGAGGAGATATTTAATCCACTTTATTATTAAGAACAAACTACTTAACACAATGCCATATAATCTGGAGGAGATATTTAATCCACTTTATTATTAAGAACAGACAGAAGACTCGAAGCAGAAAGGGATTGATTCACAGACAATCCTTATTGACTCGATGACCTAGAACCTTAAGACTTTTCAATGAAAAACCAGACCAGTGAACTCCCCCTAAACTGATTGCCTATCTAAAACTCATATTCAGGTGGAGACTCATAGTCAGACACCCCATCTTCCTCTTTTTCCTGAAAGCCGCCCAGATCAGCTTCCTTAGCTAGATCAATTTGTTCCTTGCAATATTCTAGGTTACAGAGCTCCTTGCTCTTGATGGATTGGATTTGCTGATCCAATGCCACAGATGCAGCATCAAGTAGAGCATGAACCAGCTGAGTTGAAGAAACAACAGACTGTTCTCCCCCTGAGCAAATGACATGCTTTCTCCTACCAACAGAAGCATCGACACGAGCGAGGATATGCTGTGCCTTCAAATCCTCTCGAATATCACAAACAATGATCTTGTCAGAAAGATCAATGCCAAGAGAGTATAGGAAGCGAGTTATTTGAGGACCAAAGGGAAGAGGACCAGAGTAATTCTCATCCCCATACTTGATCATGTGAGCAAACATGAGTGAGGAATAGTTGAGACGAACCCTATCAAGTGCATTAGCCATAATCCAGACATCTGAAGGATGAGCTAATTCGGTACTTGATACACTGCGAGGAAGGAGGATGCAAGTGATGAAAAAGTGCATGACTTTGAACAGATCAGCAAGCCTCCCTGCTGAGAGCATATTGGAGTAATAGCGACCGATGTCGAGGGTAAGAGACTCCAAAGCTGACCCATAGTCAAAACGAATCTCAGCAAAGTCATCATTAGTGGCAGCAGAGGATCCTTGACTAGGAAGCCCTAGGATTTCAGCTAGCAAGGAAGGGGTGACAAGTATCTCATGATGATACACGACTGTGGTGAATGACGAGGGACTCGGACCAGGACCTCTCTTCAGACTGGTGTAAAACATCCTGACAGCCTCAGGACATTGGCTGAATCGCCGATTCTCAAAAAGAGAATCCCACCCAAGATTATGAATGAGCCCAGAGATATCCAGGTCATATTTCTGGAAGGATGAGGGAAGAGCAGTGAATGAAGGATAGAGAGGGCGGTGACGAAAGTGGTTGAGATAACGCTCATAGCGCGCTGGGTTATGAAAACCCTTGTTGTTGAAGGTGACTGCAGGATGCAATTGAAAGTTAATGGGAGCCATTTTGGGAGTTTAAGGAATTGTGATATCGTAGTGAGAGTTGAGGATGAAGAAGAAGACTAGGGAAAACTACCTATATAGGGTCATCATCGGGAGTTAGAAGTGGAAAAAGCAAGACCTTAATAGGAAAGAATCAATGTACGATTGATTTATGAATCATTACTGATTTTAAGGAATCATATCGATCTCTTCCAATGAAAATAGGCCAAGTTCTCTTCGAATAGATAGGAATTTGTCAACTCCTAAAGGCTTAGTAAAGATATCAGCCCACTGAAAATCAGTATTGATGAATTGAAGATGGATCTGGACATCTTGAACAAGATCCCTAATAAAGTGATACCAGACTTCTATATGTTTGGTCCTGGAGTGTTGAATGGGATTCTTGGTCATATTAACTGCACTAGTGTTATCACACATGACTGGTAGAGAACCAAGCTGAATACCATAGTCTTTAAGCTGATATTTCATCCAGAGGAGTTGAGTACAACAGAACCCTGCTGCCACATACGCTGCTTCTGCAATAGAAAGTGCCACAGTGTTCTGTTTCTTACTAAACCAGGAAACTAGAGAGGAACCTAGAAAGTGACAAGCTCTTGAGGTACTTTTCCTATCTACCGAACAACCAGCATAATCAGAGTCACTGTAACTAATAAATTCCAGACTGGAGTCACTAGAGTACCAGAAACCTAGACTAGGAGTACCTACAAGATATCTAAAGATTCGTTTGATAGCAGAGTAGTGACTTTCTTTAGGACAACTTTGGAACCGAGCACTCACACAAACACTATACATAATGTCTGGCCTGCTAGCAGTCAAATATAGTAGAGAACCTATCATTCCCCTGAATAATCGACTGTCTACTGGTTTTCCAGATTCATCCTTGGAAAGTTTGGTTGATGAACCCATTGGGGTGGATGCAGCTTTTAAATTTGTGAAGCCAAAACGTTTTAGCATATTGTTTAGATACTTGGTCTGACTGATGAAGATTCCTTTTTCTGTTTGTTTGATTTGCAGACCTAGAAAATAATTGAGTTCACCCATGAGACTCATTTCAAAGGCATTTTTCATTGAGATCTCAAAGTTTTTGCACATTTCCTGATTTGAAGAACCAAAAATTATATCATCTACATACACCTGCACTAACAGAAGGTGTTCATCCTGATTTTTTATGAACAGAGTTTTGTCTACTTGACCCCTACGAAATCCATCATTTATTAAAAATTGACTTAGCTTATCATACCAAGCTCGTGGAGCTTGTTTTAGACCATACAGGGCTTTATTTAGTTTATACACATAGTCAGGGTGCTCTGGATCTTCAAACCCAGGTGGATGTTCAACATAAACTTCTTCCTTTAAATCCCCATTAAGAAATGCACTTTTTACATCCATTTGGAATAATTTAAAGCCTTTTGAAGCAGCAAAGGCACACAGTAATCTAATTGCTTCTAATCTAGCCACAGGTGCAAAAGTCTCATCAAAATCTATGCCTTCTTCTTGATTATAACCCTGTGCCACTAATCTAGATTTATTTCTTATGATCATTCCAAGTTCATCAGATTTGTTTCGATAGACCCACTTAGTTCCTATGATGGTTCTGTTCTTAGGTCTAGGAACCAAGTTCCAAACTTTAGTTCGTTCAAATTGATGCATTTCTTCATGCATAGCAGCATTCCAAAATTCATCCTCTAACGCTTCATCAATATTCTTAGGTTCTATCAATGATATAAAAGCAGTATGTTCAGGATAGGTTTTAGATCGAGTAACAATACCTTGATTTAAGTCTCCAATCATCAGTGAAGGTGGATGTCGCTTCTGAATGTGTACAGGAGCTTCTGGCTTGTGTATATTACCAAGATCTGCATGTTGATCTTCCTCTATGCTTGTTGTTGCTTCATTAGCTCCTTTGGTCTGACTTAAGCTGAGTCCAAAATCCTCATCCTCTTCTAAATTTTCTGCACACTTACTAGTAGACTCATCAAATACCACATGAATGGACTCCTCAACTTTGAGGGTCCTTTTATTGTAGACATGATAGGCTTTACTGTTTACAGAGTACCCCAGAAAAATGGCCTCATCTGATTTTGAATCAAACTTACCTAATTGATCTTTAGTATTTAGAATAAAGCATTTGCATCCAAATGGATGGAAATACCCTAAGTTAGGTTTTCTATCCTTCCAAAGTTCATAAGGTGTTTTGATAAGTTTTGATCTAATTAAAGCTCTATTTGTTATATAACATGCAGTGTTTATAGACTCACCCCAAAACTGTTTTGGTACTCCGTAATCATTAAGCATAGTTCTGCCTATTTCAATGATAGTTCTATTTTTCCTTTCAACCACCCCATTTTGCTGTGGTGTCCTAGGTGCAGAGAAATTATGTGTGATCCCTTTTTCATTGCAGAATTGTTCAAAATTTTCTGATACAAATTCTCCACCATGGTCACTCCTTATACTAATGATTTTGGTTTGTTTTTCATTTTCAACTCGAGCATAATAGTTTTTAAATTCTGACAGGGCTTCATCTTTACTAGACAAAAAGAGTACCCAAGTATATCTTGAGAAATCATCCACAATCACAAATGCATAATATTTTCCACCTAGACTTTTTATATTACTAGGACCAAATAAATCAAGATGAAGCAGTTCCAGAGGTCTTTTAGTAGAGATGACTGCCTTGGTTTTGAAAGAGGTTCGATTGTGTTTACCTTTAGCACAAGCATCACAAATGAATTCTTTCTTACTGTTAATTTTTGGAATACCTCTAACTAACCCTAGGTTTACTAACCTGGATAAGGTACCTACACTAACATGACCTAACCTACAGTGCCACTCTACCTGATCATTTTTATCAACAGTGATTAAGCAAGTTTCATTGAATGCCAGCTTTGTCATTTAAGTCAATAGTGAATAGCTTACCCTTTCGTTTGCCAGTGAAGAGTATTTTACCAGAGGAGATTTCCTCAACAAAACATTTTTCTGGCTCGAAAACTACTCTGTTTTTATTTCCACACATTTGGCTTATTGAGAGTAAGTTGTGTTTGAGGTCCTTAACAAGCATGACATTGTTTATTGATGGCATCGATCCTATTTGACCCTTTCCTAAAAATTTTGTACTAAAGTTATCACCAAAGAAAACTTTACCTTTCTTTCCTAAAGCCAGATTTGTAAAAAGCCTTTTATCCCCTGTCATGTGGTGTGAGCATCCACTATCCAGAATCCAAACACTGTCTGCCATGCCCACTTGGAGACAGGTCTGCAAAACAGTTTTATTTATTTGTTTTAGGTATCCAAACAAGCTTGGTTACCCTTCCCATTTGAAGGACTTTTGAACAGTTTTGGTTTGAGTGACCTACTTCATGACACTTAAAACAATTTAGATGTTTTACTCGATTTTCTTTAGCCAGACGTTTTCTACATTCTGCAATGTGATGTCCAATTTTATGGCAGTAGTAACACTCAGTGTTCCTGATCTTATGTGGCTGTTTATAATTCTTATCAGATTTATTTCCCAAGATTTTTTTGCCTTTACATTCTGTTCTTAGCCTTTCAATTTCAGCTTCCGCTGATCCCAATTTGCTTTTTAGTTCACCATTTTCAGCCAAGGCATTTACAAGTTTGTTTTCTATATCTGATTTGTTATCCTTCAGAGTTGCAATTTCTTCCAACAGTTTTTCACACTTTGATTTAATAGAACATGCTTTTGTTTGACTTTCAGGAACTCGTTTTGAATATCTAAGATTGTCTCATCTAATTGTTCATCTTCACTACAGCAATCTGAGTAGTAGAGGTTTACCTGTTTTTCGCTTTCCTCAATGTCACTTTCCTCAAAAGCCATGTATGCTTCTTGTTTTGTTTCCTCCTCATCTTCATCATCTTCACTGCAGCTCCAAGTTGCAGCAAAAGCCTTTTCTTTCTTCAATAAGGGGCAATCGGCTCTGATGTGTCCAGCCTTTCCACACTTGAAGCACCCAGCTTGAGGCTGAACCTTTTCAGAACTCATTCCTTCTCTTTTGTTCTTTAACCCATATCGACTTGATCTGCTGAGTTCCCTTTCATTTTCCCCATCTCTTGCTCTGTTGGGAAAGCTTCCTCTTCTCTTTTCTTTTCTCATCCGTAGCAGCTTGGCTACGTGTTTGCTGAGCATTGCCAGCTCGTCATCCTCCATTTCTTCAAGACAATCCAAGTCATCTTCCTGAGTTACCGCTTTGAAGGCAATTCCTTTCTTTTCCTTCCTAGGCTCTTCTACTTCCTCCCTTTTCAATTTCTCTTCATGTGTTACCAGGGATCCGATCAGCTCATCTAGACTTAGTCTAGTAAGATCCTTGGATTCTTCAATGGCAGTTACTTTAGGAGTCCATCGCTTTGGTAAGGCCCAGAGAACCTTCCTTACTAATTCTGCACTGGCATACTCCACCTCCAGATTCCTCAGGCTGTTTACGATTGTAGTGAATCGCTCAATCATTTCTCTGATTGATTCCTCTGGCTTCATGATAAAGGATTCAAACTCCTGCTTCAGACTATTAATTCACGAGATCTTCACATGTGATGTGCCCTCATGTGCTATCTGGAGTTTATCCCAGATCTCCTTGGCTGTCTTACACCCCGACACCCTGTGATACTCCTCGGGACCCAGAGCACAATACATTAGGTTGGTTGCTTTTGAATTCATCTGGAAGTTCTTCTTGTCGACCTCAGTCCATTTCCCACGAGCTTCCTTTACTTCAAGTGGACCGTCCATTACTATGTTCCATAGATCAGGATCCGTCGATCCTATGAATAGTTCCATCCGATTGCGCCAGTATCCAGAATGAACCCCTTCAAATCTTGGTGGCCTTGTTTGGGAGAATCCATCCGCCATGAAAATTCCAGTTGCTGACCCCGAGCTCATCTTCTCCGCAGACGCTTAAGCCTCTTGTGTAGGAGCCGGGCTCTGATACCACGTGTTGGATCGTCGAGCGCGAGACGATGGAATTCCTCTTCGATGGTTTCTCCTTCTGTCGAACCCTAACTTTGCGATTTCAGATCAAGTGAGAGAATCGAGTAATGGAAATGAAAATGCGTTTTATTTCCTGAGTTTCTAAACGTTTGTTAATATGCAAAATAACCCGAAGTGGGCTTTGGTCTGTAAACAGTGCAACGACTTAACCAAATGAAGTGGGCCTGCTAATCGAGCTCAAATCACTGCGTCACCTTCTTTGTAGTGAAGAGAAGAGTTCTTCAGCTGAACTCTGTACCTGCAAAACAGAGTAAGCTAACAAGAAAAAGTAAACAACAGAATCAAACTCATTCACACACACAAATCGAATTTTTACGTGGTATCCGATATTGGGAGAATGAGGATCCCAATATCGACTAATCCACGGTAGGAGACTCTCTTCTTGAGATCTCCTACGTAAGCACTATCTTAGTGTCTTGTGTTTTACAGGACTCGGCTAACTTCAACTCTGCTCCCCACAGATCTACCAAGCTTGCCTCGGTGTACAACTTCCTGATCAAACAATCTGATTTTTCCCAGTTAATCACCTCGATTAACTCTGCCAATCACTTCTAACCCAAAAGACTTTAGCTTCACAAGCTGTTTCTTTTTGTTCTATGAATATCACAGGGAAAAACGTACATCACACAACTCAATTGACCTCCCCTTTATATTTTTCCCACAGCAGAGCCGTTGCAGGGAAATCTTGACTTGCCAAGTTTGCTCTGCTCATTTTCGGCAGGATTGCAGTTCTTTCTATTTTTGTATTGCTTTGAATCCTCCTGATTTGCGCCATTGATCATTTCCTTTTCAGTCTGCTCGTATATCAGAATGCATAGACTGGCCTCGATCTACTTCTCTCAACAATATCATAGTCCATCAAGGTTCAAAAATGGAGCGGTTAGTATGTACCATCCCAGTTTGATGGCTTTACAATATCCTATATTGTTTCCTTATGGTGAAGATGGATGGTACCCAAATATCCCGTATTCTGGAAACCAAGAAGAAGATGAAGAAGATGAACCTATGATTAGGTTGGAAGCTGGCATTGTTACTCAATGTGAATTCTACAGTTATCGTCTGCAGACAAGATTTCACGAGTCAAATTCTCTATTGTTAGCCGGCAAATTATTCCAACAATATGTGGTCAATGCATATGCATTGGTTGAAGCTGAACGGCTAGATTGGATTAGGAATAACCAATCTAAGTTACGTATGCATTATTTTAGTGGTTTGTTGGATTCTTTCTTGCGCGGTGATACAGACTTGGAGAAGACAGGAAAGCAT